ACACATTGCGCTTATTAAACATTAACGAGGCGCGAATGAAGAGCAGCTATATATGCATAAACAACGCCGCTGCCGCCATTTTCTTCTTTTTAGCATAGGCCACCAAAATACCACAAAAACTAAAAAAATGTTCAAAATTACAAAACATACAATTCAACAACACAAAAGAATTGAAAGAGCTGTTTCAATGTGTATGCTTGTATAGGGCATATCCGTTGTTTGCGCACCTAGCCATCGCGAAACATATTATTTATTCCGTCATAGTTTATAGCTCGTAAACATTTTTAGTCGAGCGTAATTATACAAATTAACTACGCGCCGCTGCCGTGGCAATATGGCCGAATGCAATGCAGTGTTGTTGTTCGCCCCGTGCGGTGCTTATTGTATGGCCGCGGCCAGCCGTGGCTGTTGGCAGTTTTGCGGTGCACCGTCATTACCGACATCATAAAAATTTTTACTATCTTTTATTAATTACTAGTTTCGGCCCCGGCGCGAACCACTCCACGCTTGGCCATTGCCTATTATACACCCGCTCTCGTCATGTATATGAGCTCTTAAAGAGATTTAAATACGGAAAATCGAAGCTCGGAACGTTGTGGTTTTTTTTTTGTGTTACATACGTTTGTAACATGTGCTAAATAATAACAATCGTACGACGGTGCAAAAAGAGGCGAAGTAATTTTATTAGCGAGAATTATTACTTTTTTCTATTTGAAGATTTTATTGTTTATTCATTTAAACTAAAGAAATAAACATACGATGTGAATATTTGCTGGATATATGTTTGGTTGTATTAATGTTTGGTTGTTTTAACTAGAAATAATTGTCTAAATTATTGTTAAATTAGGTTAATTTGAACACTTTATTAGTATTTCTACGTAGTTTTACGTTTTATCATGATGCCAACTGCTATTATTTTAATCATCATGTTGTATTTTGTGCACGTATCACATTTATAACTGTTTTTAACGATTCTTTATACTAGTACTTAATTTTAAGCGAGTGTACTCTAGTCCCAGTGCTTTATATTTGTAATTTTTCTTCGTTGCGTTACGAGAAAAATTTTGCTGTTTTATTGTGGCTATTTTATATTTTCGCCGTCACGTAGACGTCGTTCGGTGTGCATTCATTTTTAGACGTTTTTCTACTATAAAATAGAATAAAATTGAACAAAATTTAGAAAACAATGAATCTATCGCTAAATGAGTCTAAATATGTCCAAAAGTAAAATAATTATACGTTTAAATCGGAAATTGCTTCAATTATGTGATTATCACCTCTGTCGACGCTAAACGCCTAACGAAAATATTAACTCTCTTGTTAAGCTGTGTGTCTGACGTTGATGACTTAATTTCGTTCGGTGGTTTTCGTATAAACTTCATAAATTCTTCAATGCATAAATTGGCTCACATGTTCACTTGTCGCAACGGACGTGTTTGTTGGCGTTTTAGAGCCTGGAACATGCACGCAATAATGGCAGTCACATGAATAATGAATTGCTAATTGACCAATCGTGGAAACCGACATAAAATGCAACCACGTTGTGGCATGTAACATCGCTGGGAGTGGAAACTTGCTATTTATTCAACAATACGCCGCTCTGATTGGTTTATATTTTTTCTTGTTGACAGCACATTGAAGCATTCGTGTAAAATGTGCTGTTAGAAAATAATTTACAAAGGCCACAGTAATTACAAATCCATTGTCATAGAGATATTATTTACTAAAAATCATTTTTTGAATTTTTTTGTTGTTTAATTTGAATTTATCTAGTATAAAACTAGTAAAACGTAACTTAAAACAGCAAGTGCGTCATTTTATCGAAGTACCTATCTATCAATCGAGTATTGTTGGTAGAAATAGATCCCTGTAAATAAAACACAAAATACACGAATAAAAGTAATCTCCACACGAGGGAGGCGACCATTAAACGAACATTATGTCCAGGGCGAGGCAACGCCACGTGTGTTTATGCCTGCCGGCCTGGGGACGCAATATAAAATGATATATGAACGCCATGTTAACATAGTTTATGCGATACTACAAATTGCAACCAGCTCGCGTTTTTGCGCATTGTGTACTGGTAGTTTTATTTTTGTTCGCTTCCTTCGCGGTTCGTTTATAGGTATGCTCGACATATAGGGAGCTTCCATCTTGTAGTAAGTTGCAATTGCTGCAAAGTCTATATCAGCAGAAAGCCCTGCGGCACCGCGGTTGTAGCCTTGTATAGAGATTAACATTTTGTGCAATGCTGTGGTGTGACGTGGGCTGTTCACTGCGGATGAAATGTATCGACGAGTGTTTCCTAGCCATTATATGATTTACAACTGCATGCACTACAAGCCGCTTCGTGTATAACATTACAGATGTTTTTATGACTCTTCTATATCGTTTGTGCTCTGTGAAGAGAGGTTTTAATGTTTGCTTTAACTACCTCCGGTCTGAGTGATCTGACAACGTTTCAAAAATCAAACGTAATGTCTGCTTCAGTTGGTACAAGGACGCAATTTGCTTCGAAGGTAAAATTAGTCTGTTTTATTATAAATTCACCAATCGGATGAGTATAATGTGTTCGGAGGTGGTGTGGTAATAGGTCCGCAGGACGCCTGCTCGAAATTGTTGATCGCGGCGGCCATTTTGTTCTACTGGTGTGCGAGGAGTGCCGCCGCACGTCGGCGAACGAGCGACGACGCAAGAACGGCAAGGAAGCGTTCGTTCGTTATTGCACAAAGCAGGCGCACTGCCGTCGTCGGCGCGGTTGTGCCTAGCATGTCGCGCAACTATGGATTCTATCGAGTCGCGCGATAAAGTTGCTGCCTCTGCAGGTCGGGCCCGTCGAGTTGCACGATGTGCATGTGCCGTAATTGCATCGTGGCGCGCATACACGCCAAACGCCGCGCCCCGCTTGCCGACCTTCCTTGCGCGCCTCTTCTGTTGCTATGCTATATGTTTATTACGTTGCCATGCAACCGTTGGCATTGTGGCGTTGCCGCCAAAGAACGCTCGCGATAGCCATTTTGATTCGTTAACGTCCTAAGTTCTTATCGCGCCGCCCGCTTGCAGCACTTTTACATGCACCATGCTAACGTCGTTAATTCTTTCAGAGTTGTTGTAATGTTTGATATACTTTCAAGCAGTAACGATTATATGTTATACCTATTGCGCTATTCGGAATGACAAGGACATGGCACTTCCGGTTAGCCATTTTGCTTACATGGAATACAAATGTGAATATTCTCGTTTAAACTTTTGTAATACTAAAATCATGTTTTGTTCTAATCTAACAACAATTGTTAACAAGCCCGGGTAGCTCAGTCGGTAGAGCATTGGACTTTTAATCCAAGGGTCCAGGGTTCAAGTCCCTGCTCGGGCGATTCTTTTGGCTGTTTTATTTTTATTTTAATAAAATAATAATAGTCATCTAATAAAGCAACGTTTTTGGATGAGACTAATTATTTTCCTTCACTAAACTAAAAAAGTTACATTGCAGTATAGCTAATGTTTTAAGCAAGCATTTATATTACTGGCGAGAGTAATGCCCAAACTGAACACATTTGTTGTTAATGCCCAAGAAAATCGTAAAACCCAATGGAACACTACTTAACGCGCCGCTCTGAAGAACCACGCGCTTAATAACTTAATCAGTCGGCCACGTTAATTAATTGCACAGAGCACGAAGCGCGGAGATTTTAATGGAGTTTCAAGATTGTGCATATATGGTTGTCGTGGAGAATCTGCGAGCGGTTAACTTCTTTATCGACCCGCGGATTGAGTTTATGATGGCCGACATGATGTTTTTGCGACTCCATTAAAACAACTTGTCGGCACATAATACGTGTATGTAATAAGTAAATGCCTTTGTACTGCTGCATAATTGAATCAAGATGTACATGCAGACCGTTTGAGTATATTGTACCGATTGTACTTGGGCATTTGTTGCATAGCTATACTATATTCGGTATATATGTATTTTTAATAGACTATCTAAAGGCAATTGTCATAGCATCATAACTGCATTCCTGCGAGAACGAAAACTTAGCAACATCGGGGCGGGTAATACTTAGATAGGAGGAAAGCAGTGAACTCACTTCTTGCAACTACCGCATCACTTTGTGCTATAGTACGTTCAAAATCTCCCAAAACTCACATTTCTTTTAACCTTAAAGAAAAATCAATAATAATGTATGCCATCCAAAAGCGTAACTTCATTGGATTAGTATAATGGTTTAGAAGGTATAGCAAAAACATCGCCCGAGCAGGGACTTGAACCCTGGACCCTTGGATTAAAAGTCCAATGCTCTACCGACTGAGCTACCCGGGCTGACAATTGCAAAAAGTGGTGTGAGGAAGTTCCAACAATAGCTAAGATCCGAGTATAGTTTCAAACTGAGTTTAACACTTCTCCTTCTAAAGACTGTTATCCACCCCGATATTGCTTATCTGTGGTTATCGCAGGTTATGCACCATGGTAAAACTGTTACCTGATGGTACCTTTAAAAAATATACAAAAGAAAACGTTAACTAATTGAGTATAGCTATTCTAATACTTTAAATGATAAAAGAAAGTGGCGCCCTGTCTGGATTGTGATGGCTTAGCGACATATGATTTCTATTCAATTACCATATAACGAAAATTCAGCATTTTGCATATTTGCAATTAAGTTTAAGCACCAGCAATAAAATTATAATGTGTAAAGTATTTACCAAACGCCGAATTATCATTTCTTCATTTCTTACATGAACGTTACTAAAGCATGTTGTCTGAAAAGTGTAATTACATAATTATTAATTAATGAAATTTAACAACTTAATTGGTCTAACGACTTCATCTCATCGTTGCAGAAAAAAATATTAATTAAGATTGGTTTATGATGCTTAATTTCACACTTTTTGTTTGCAATTCAGTTAATTAATAATGATTAATTAACGAGTGGATAAAATTGTGTAAATCATCATTTTCAAAACGACTAATTACTAAATGGTTTGTAATTTGTTTGCAGATTTGATGGCCGACTGGATATCAATCAACTTCCGACGCACAACTTACTCGTCAGCTCGGCGCGTCGACCAGGAAGCGCTTAAGCAAAATCCGATGCCATCGGAAGTTGTACTAATTGTTTATAATTTTAGCGATTTATCACTAGTTATGTTCCGTTTATTAATAAGGTTACAAATTGGTTGCGTCGACATGAAATTTCTTCAATCGCAGTATCGTGTTCTCTAGTGTGATTTCAAAACGTCCTCTAAAAATCAAGTGTCGTTCAAAATTGATCTAGTTTTTCACATTAAATGTAATCAATATATTTTGCAAATTCATGAAGACATAAAACCTTCAGTTCTGATTTATCCAAACAATACTAATGATAAATGAAAGTCCTATCTACATTACAAGCATCATAATATTAAAAATATGTGCATGTATGATAAACATGTAACATTTTCTTAATTATATCTTAAATATACAAGAAAACTATAAAATGTTATTTATTATTATGTAATTTTTATTTATGAATTGATTAAGATAGTGTTTTTCATGAACCGTTAAAACTTTGTCACTGTTGACTTAAGAATACACTGTAGATGTTACAAACGTTTTAAAAGAGTAGCCACCATAAGATAAGATAATATGTAAATACTGTGTCCGTCTTTAACAAATTATAATCTAAAGGAACTTCAACATTCGTCCAAATCTGGCTTGTATCTAGAATGTTAATTAATAACGTAATCTACATGTATACTGCTCTGCAAAATTTAAAATGATGATTTACTCTTTTTATAAAATCGTAGATGAAAAGACGTTTTGCGCAACAGATTCTTATTTTTAACCCTTCACGTTGGCAACACAAATATATATGCACCAGAGTGCCGTCTCGTTTGTCACTCAAATTGTTCACGCTTTGTTGAGCGAAGTTGGCCACAATTCAGCAATACAATTCAAAATTTCTATGTACTAAAGTACTGCTCGTACAGTTACAGTTTTAATTTAGTTATAGAGTAATGAAATATTATGCCAAATAAATGTTCTACTTATACTAATTATATTGCTAGGCACAACTGCGTGTGACATGGATTGAAATGAAATGAAAATGAAACCTAAAAATGCAAATGTTAAAGTTTGAATATTTGTGGTACAAACCAATGATAAAACTAAAACAATGCACACACAAGACAAACACAACTTACTTTGTACTTTATTGTTCGAAAATTGTTTGCGAAGCGATTGTAATTGTATCAAACTTCTTGTAACTATTACATTACCTTAAAACTACTTTAGTAATAATAATATTGATATTAATAGCTTACAAACAAACCTTTACACGATTTATTGTCGCGATGATGATCGTTAGTCTTTTTAGGAACTTGTGATATGATGGTGATTCTTCTTTGGCGAACTGGCATATTAAACCCATTGTGAAGGTTTAAAGCATGTAAATTCGGGAGTATTCCTTGCAATACGAACGGTGCTGCTTGGTGATCACATAGTGTTAAGCTATGAAAAGTGAAAAGAAAGTCATTTCTCTCATCCGAAACGAATTTATTAGATTGTAAGCAACTCAAGCAAACTGAAATATAAAGAACTGTAAGGATTTATAAACACATATAAATATATACATAATATCTAGTTATCGATAAACGGAATAAGTGATGTGGTTGCAAGAAGCAAGGAATGTAGAGATTAGAAAATAAATGCTGAGTGTTTTATTAATTGAATATATCCTGTATGTTTTATCATTTAATCCTGTATATTTTTTGTAGATAATATTCGTATTTAATTGTCAATTGTGCGCAAGTTATTAGATAATTGTTCATAATTACTTCAACGAAATAGAAGCAAAAAAAAAATCAGTTACCGCTCTATTACTTGCTCCGGTATTTATGGCGATGAAAGCATAATTCCTCAGCTGCATTTAACGACATCGTACACAAAATTGTTCGAAGAGACAAACAAATTCCCGATTTACGAGGGGTGCTTCGACGACTGAAATCGTCGTTTGCTTATACGAACTTTTAACTTTTACAGCCGAAAAACTAACAAAAGTACAGAGCATTTCTCGTTCGGGTGCTCAGTGCTCGAATTAATGGTAATGCGTCCTAGCGAAATGGCACTCCAGGCAAAAGCGTCAATAAAAATTTTATAATTGTGAAAAATTATCATTTACGACTATTGATCAGTTTGGCGTAATAATAAATTTTATCGACGATATTTTCCAGCAAAAACTTATTTTTCATATTTTTGTCTTGCTTGCTCGACATTTAATTAACTTGATTTAAATGTTACGTTTTTCAGCTATAATACAACATTAGTATTTGTTTGATGATATTTTATAGTTTACTGCTTCGGATATTATGGCTTAAACCACTTTGGAAATTTGTCCAGTACAATACGGTACTAGGTATTTGATGATAAACTGGATCTAACTGGCTAGCTGGCTAGAAATGAGGAAAAGAAAATATTTTATTACATAATAAGAAAAATGGCGCTTTCAATTGCTGACATGAAAATACAAGAACTTAAATAATAAAACTTTGCCAATAAAATTCGTTTATAGACGATAAATTTTTCATCGTAAATTCTTTTTTACTATTTGCTGTGTACCGTTTGGGAGTGTAGACTGGCAACATAGGTGACACGTAATTTTTGGTACGGAAATGGTAAAGATAAACATTCTTTTGCTAAAAAATTGTTTGTTTTCACTTTAAAAATCTTTGCAAGTGGCCTAAAGAAGACCATCTTTTTCTGTATTACTGAGGTGAATATTTTAGTCGGGTGAGGCTAGTGGGTAAAAGGTAGAGTAATGGTGAGATATTGTTTTGTTTGTAAACAAAAATAAATATATAGCAGTAAATTATAGATCTTTTCAAGAACGGTCAGTGATAATTTCAGTTCAGTGGCTGGTTCTTACGGTGCAATCGTGTTTGTTCTTAGATCGGATCCCACAATAGGAATTGCTCTTTGGAGCCAAAATCTTTCTTGTTTTTAAATTTCTGCACATTATGAACATCTAAGAGCCAATTTTTACAATTGCATTCAATTATTTACATTTATGCAATAACAAGACAATCAAGGAAGTCGATAGCTTGCCGATAGGAAGTCGATATTTAATAGGTAAACATGCACAAATTAATTTATTGCAAACACAATCTTATTTAAAAGTGAACGCTAGCGACATCTGGACGCGGTTTAACAGTTTCAACTCTTACCAAATATTTCGCGATTCTTACCATTCATACACTCTTGCGCAAACGGGTCTGCGAGCGCATTGGTGTTGCACGCACCATATAATACCATAATGTTACCCCAGATGTCGCTAGCATGCACATATTCGCATTAAAGCCTCAGAGCGAAATCTCAACCGGTTGCTTGTTGGTGGTAGATAGTTAAACGGCAAATGCGTGTCCGTGTGAGATCACGCGATTTTGTGCAGCCAATAGGGTTGTTATCAGTAGGTTGTTTGTTTACATTCTTAAACCTGCGTGCTATGAGAATTCAGGCGCTGTGTTAAAACTTACGTGTTTTGCATTCGGACAGTTTATAAATTACACTCCTATAGGTGTGTGTGAATCTGCGGTTTCGCACAGTTTATACGCGTTCGTATCAGTGAGTGGTTTACCTTAATAAATTTTGCGTGCCGTAGGAACGCGCTGTAGTACCTAAATGAATGTGAAAAGAATCGCTTGTTGCTCTAGTAAACGCATTAAAAACCAAATTGACCCCGCTTGAATTTCAAAATGAGAACATAGTATTCACAAATTATTAAGTTTTGCGTTAAGTTTACTGCATCTTCTCTTAAACATTGTGTTGTTGTTAGTAATGGAAGTGTTAAGCATTGCGTTAAACGTTAGTATCATTGAGTTTGCTTGCCGACGGAACATGGTCGTTCTGCATTAAAATAAAATGTGGCATTTAAAAATATTGTGGAATTGTTCAAGATGCAAATACGATTCCGGGATGGTGAACATACACTCCAGGAGTTCCATCCGAATCAGGTGAATTAATTAATATTTTGATTTGTTGTAGTTTGCTTTGCTTACGTTGCCTGCATTCAAAATTCTTTTAAATTTAGGAAATTCAGGTTTTGCGACACATATTGAGAGAAAAAAAGATTTCGTTATTTTCCTATTAACTTATATAAAAATTAATATTTGTATTGTGCATGAATGTTGTTTTGTCGGTACATGTCACAGAATGAGTGGTTCCGGCTGAGATCTCGCGATGCGCACGTCATACATATCCATTACTTTATAATGTGAACCAAGATGTCGCTAGTAAGAACATATTTGCATTAAATTCGAAGCGTCTTGATCGAAACAAGTTATGTCGCACGCAGTGTGGCGCAGCCGATTGTCTTGTTATCAGTTGTTCGTTTGTTTACAGCCGTGAACCGTGCCGTGAGAACTAACGTGAAGCCTTAGAATTTAGTCATTTGCATTCGGGTAGTTTTTCTTCGTCGTTCGCCGTCTCCGGGTACCGTTCGCTTGTGCATTTGATATCTCTGTTTGAGGCTTGTTGTTGTGACGGAGCGCCATGTTTCGCGAAATTTTAATTCGATTACTTTACATTCGATCAAGAATCGAAGACATTTAATATTAATAGTCGTGGTTTGTATTTTACTTTGGTGTCCACTGTGTGAGGAATGTTTAGAAACGTAAATAAACCCTCGGTCAACTATCGGATTTGCATGGATTGCATATACGTACCTACTATGCCGAAGAAGATTTATCGTAAGTAATATGAATTGAATATTTTCTGGGTTTAGCCGAAATTTATACTTTTAACACAAATGATGTTTGTGTGCAACTTGGGATATACATGGCCGAGGAGAGGGGGTCAACTGGGGTAAATTTCCCGCGGTTCGTCTGATCGCTCTTAAATCGCATACACAAAAATAATAGCTAGGGCTTCACGCGATACCGAGACTTTTCTCGTATCATCTCGTTCCCGTCTCGGAATAGCGAGACGATACCACAGTCCGAGTCTCGTTTTTGGTCTCGTTATTGGTCTCGTTAAATTTTTTATGAAGTTGTTATTAGAAAAATGAGAAAGGTCCAATATATGAAATCAATATATGACCATCTGTGAAACATTTCTTTTGTATATTCTAAAGAACAAGTCACTAACCGAATAACATGACCTTTATGACTTTTTGAAAATTATATGAAAATTTTGTCTTTGTTTACACATCCGGAGACATATTTTTGTGTTTTTCTGTACTTCTTGATTGTATACATTTTAGGTACGTTAGGAATTGTAGACATGCGCCGCTTACTTTCAAATACAAATCAACCTGATTATTGTACCCCAGTGTATACATTAACGTTTAAAAAAATTTGAAACATTAAAAATATCTTTCACTAAAAGTGATGCAACTGAAAAATTCACATTTTAAACTATGTGGGCGTATTTCCTTGGACTTACTTTACAATAAAAGCAATTTCAGTACTAAAATTACTAAACTTTGTAAACTGCAAAGATCTTAAAACTGAGTTCTATATATGGTTTAATGTAGATAATGTGAGACTTTTCTCGAATCGTCTCGATCTCGTATCGCTTCGAGATGAGGCTGGGACTATACTATACCCTTTATGAAGTCCACCAAATCCCCGCCCCGTGTGAAGTCCTAATAATAGCAAAATTAGGATGACCGCAATGATCGGATTACAATTGGGTGATATTCACAATTTAAAAAGTAAAAAAAAAGAAAATTTATTTTTGTTACGTTTTTGGTCCCGTCCCACGGAAATTAAAATTATTTTGAATTCTACCCGTAGAATAAAGTGGCAGAAGGGACTCGTGCTTAGGGGAACCGTATGAGGCAGTGCATGCTGACTCTGTGTCTGTGGGTCATCGTAATGAGTATAGCAGTAGAAGTGACTGTGTTCAGGCACCGTACGAGGGTAGTGCGTGGTAGGCTTAATTGTATTCTGGGCACCGTACGAGGGTAGCGGTAGAAGTGACTCGTAAGTCTGCTGTACCGCTACAAATGGCAGCGGTAGAAGTGATTCGCTAAAGGTGGGCACCGTAATGTGGATGATTGTATAGCTGACTCACTATTTGCCCATTTTTCATATGAATTAAGTAATTTGGTTATACTTTGATTTTCAATTTAATTCAGCTTACTTATATAGAGAATTGTCCATAGATTAAAAACTGGTATCTGTTCCCTTTTGATCTCTTTAGAGATGTTCTTCGTACTGAAAAAATGCTTCTCAAAATTTGAATAATTTTAATTTTAGCCCTCTAGTTGGTGATTTTCGACTCCTTGCAATTTCTTTTGCAATTAGAAAAATTTATATCTGTGAAAAATATTTTTTAAGCATTTGCAGGAAATTTGAAATGGTGCATTTCCACTTTTTAATTGGTGGATGCTTCAATATAACCTCGAATCATAAATCATAATTTCATGTTTTAAATTTTAGTTCACTAGCATGAACTAAAATATCATTTAAATAGAATCTGCATTAACCTGAAGACAGTTCCTGGCCATCCGCGTTTCAGTAAAACAACTTACTTATTGCATCTCGCCGCGCGAGATGATACGCCTTTAAGATTCTCGTCGCGCTGTCGCGCCGTTACCTTTTAGTTTAGTTCTTTATCAGGTGCCGCGTCTATTGCAATTCGGCGCGACAAGGTCGCATGCCATCGACGCGCGCCGCCGCCGGTTTGCGCATCTATTGCATTCTTGCACAAGGTCACGCGTACGCCATTGATG